CACCCATCACGCTGCTGCTTCTCCTGGAACCTGTGGTTTTCCCTTCACACCTGCCTGCTCTGGCTTCCAGGGTCCCAGCTGTGCACTGAGCACGGGATACAAAGCCCTTCCGGGGCCCTCCAGAGCTGACCTCTTGCTCTGAACACTGAAGCCCTCTCCCTAAGTTCTCCTGCCCGCCAGCTTCCTCCAAACAACACACTTGCTGCTTAGCAGGAAAATCCCCCACTGGTGTCACTGGGTCTTGAGCCTGTGACATCTGCCTGGAGCATCCATCCTTCCTGAGTCTGTCAGATCACCTCACAGTCGTTCAAACGTCGCCTTGCTGGACGTTTTCCAGATCCCCAGCTCCTCTGGGCTCCCTTGGCATTGTGACCCTTGCCTTTCACACTGAATTGTAATTATTTATTTGCATATCTATTTCCCCCTCTGGACTGAAAGCTCCTTGGTGGCAGTCTTTTGCCTTTTTTTTTTTTGTATTAGGGATTGAAGCCAGGGCCTTGGCACTGAGCTGTATCTCCAGTCCTTTATTTATTTTGTTGTTATTGTTTTTAATTTTGAGACAGAGATGGGGTGTGGCTAAGTTGCTCAGGTTGGGCTTAAACTTACCATCCTCCTGCCTCAGCCTCCCTGAGTGCTGGGACTACATACAGGTGTGCTGTACCAGGCCTAGCATCGTTTGCATTTTTGTACACCAAGTGTCTAAAGCACAGTAGGGAGTGTGGTGGGGCATGCCCCTGATTCTAGCACTTAAGGGGCTGAGGCAGGAGGATTGCCACAAACTCAAGGCCAACCTGAACTATATGGTGAGATCTTATCTCAAAAAACAATGACAAAGAGGAGGATCACCGTGAGTTCGAGGCCAGCCTAGACTATATACTGAGACCCTGTCTCAAAAGAGAAAAAAAAAACTAGCTGCCCACATTGTTAGGTGTGGAAAAGTGCAACAGGGATGTCTGTGCCCTGGAGATACGAAGGATCCAGTGGAAGGCCTGGAGCTCACTGCAGCATGCCCTCCAGGTCCAGACAGGAGACTGAAGGTCTGTGAGGGAAGCCAGAAGATGACACCCACAGTGAAGGTGAAGACTGGAGCTCCTCTGAAGAGACAGAAACAGCCTTTCTTCTTCATTTCTCTTCTATTCCATTCAGGCAGCAAGTCGACTGGTTGCTATCACTCACACCTAGGCTGGGTCTCCTTTTCTTCCTGTTTTTTCTGTGCTGTGCCATGCCTGACATTTGGTCTGTGTACATAGCTCAGGCTGGCTGGCCTTGAACGTGAGGCAACCTCCTGAGTGCTGGAATCACCGGAGTGTACCACCACACCCGGCCCCAGGGTGGGTCTTCTGTCAGAGATGACACTTTCTCTGTGAAGCCCTTCTCACTTGCCTTGCCACCACGGAGTTTGTATTAGGGAAATGTCTCATGTTAGATGTCTGGTGCTTTCTACTTAGAGCACATATCATAAAAAATTTATGGGCAATAAGTTGCATCCATTTAAAGTGTAAGATTTAATGAGTTTTGATAATTGTGTACAACCAGGAAACCAGTGAACAACAAAACTATAGAATGTTTAAGTTATTTCTAAAAGGTCTTTTCTGCCCCTCGCTCCTCTCCCCTTTCCCCTCCTCTAGGGAATCATTGACTCGCTTTTTTCCTGTAGATTAGTTTGCATTTTCTTGAAGTCTTTTATTTACTTACATTGAGTCTGACTTCATATTTATTTTTGTGAATTAGTAATTTGTTTTTTATTGCTTGAGTGGTATTCTATTGTTTACTCATTTAGTGTGCTGTCTTCAGTTTCTCTGTAGTTTCTAGTTTTCCTGTCGGTTCTTTCTTGATTCCTGGCACTGTACTTCTTTTTTCTTTGCTAAGTTGCTGTATCCCAGGTGCCCCAGTTCTAAGTCCCCTCACTTTAACACAGTTTTTAATGACTGCTATTTAAAGAGTTGTGGATTTGATATTACAGTAAGATAACCCTTTTTGGAGGAAAAAATTTCTGTAAAAACAATCATTTTCAATTAGTTATGCCAGAAGTTCCCACACTTTCTAGTTTATAACCCCTAAGTGTTTTAGTCATTACTATATTTCATGGTGCCCCTAGAGTCTAGCACCTAGATCAAAAGAAGTACCTCAGAATTCTACTTACTGTTAGAATAAAATAACTTAGTTATTTATACTGTAATTGTTTAGCCATTTAAAAAATAACATAGGAAATAAAATTTATCATATTGTGAACACAATTATTACTATTAGGGTGTGTATACCTTAGGGCACCACACAGCTCTCAAACACTGGAATTTGATAACCAGGGCACTTACTTTTTGTTCCACATTGATTTTCATGTCACTTGCTTTCTTTCTTTACAACTTCCCAAAGCCCAGTTCTCAAATACTGTGCATGACTCCTTCAGAAGAAGCATAAAACAGACTAATGTTGAATTTGTGAACATTTGTGAGCTAGTGGCTCCCCTTGTCTCGATATGTACTGCTGTTTTCCCCTCAGAATACCTTCTTGTGTCTTTAGGAGTTTTCTGTGGCACCATGAGAACCATGAATCTGTGCAAAGGTGTTCAACAGTTGAGCATAAGACACTGTTTTAATTTCTCTTTATTCTTTTCCTAATCTAATTTAATTTTTCAACCTGAACTAGTTGGAATAGTTCGCATTGCATTTTAAACACTAGCGAATTACTAATTGTCTAGTACTGTCTGAAAAATGTTCGTTTTATCAGTATCCTTTCACAAGTTGATGAAATCCATAGTATTTCTGTAATCTTAAGTATTTTGTAAACTTGGTATAATAAATATTCTATTTTAATGTAAAAGATTAAGAAAACTTTAAAAAGCAATAATACAAAACTGTTCTTGCTATGTTCAGTTTTATATATGTATATATATTGTATACATAGATATGCATCTGTAGCTTTTTAGTATAAAATAAGTTTTGTTGTATAGTCTAAGGCATGCTGCCCAAATAGCAGCAGCAGGTAGATAAGATGGAATGATTATCCAGGTTGTTAGTACCTATGTTGTATTGCCATAAGTAAACAGGGATTGATGTAAAAGGTCTGGCTTTGTAGCTCACATGGAGCTACATCCTTTGTCTTTTGTTACTTTTTATTTTTGAGGATGGGTCTTGGTAAGTTGCTAAGTTGCCTAGGTGGGCTCAGACTTCCTGCCTCAGCCTCTCAGAGCTCTGTGATCACAGGCAGATGCTCCATGTCTGCTCCATGTCTTAGATGCTCTGAGGTCTGCGTTTTTATCTCTTCCATTTTTAGTGGATTACCAGCTTACTTTCTTTTTTTGGTATTGGAGATTGAACGCAGGACCTTGCGCTTGTGAGGCAGCTGTCGGAACCACTGAGCTAAATCCCCGGCCCATCAGGTTACTTTCTTTAGGTAAAATAATACAGTTTTCCCCACTTTTTTTTTTTTTAAGCTATTAATCCAGTTTTTCCTCAGTGGAGAATGATGGCAATGTACTTTCTCACTCAGGGTTATATAGGTGCTAGTCTGCCTTTGCCTTTCTGTTACACTTGAGTCTTTAGCTGACTCATCCTTCCCTCCTTTCCTCCCTTCCTGAGCCAAGGCTATAGGTGCCCTACCATTAAACTATACCCTTAGCCAGCACTGCAGTTTTTGGTGGTGCTTTAATTATTTTAAAATGAGCAAATAGTCTTTCTTTTAGAAACACGTTAAAATGTGGGTTCCTATTATGTAGGACTCTCTGTCCAGGAGTTGAATACCAGAATAATTTTATGTAGTTGAAATACAAATTATTTGTTAACTGTATGTGGAAAATATCTCTGGTTAATTAAAATTTTTTTTAACAACTTCCTGGTTATTTTCAACAAACAAATTGTTAACTTTTGTATTAAATATGTGAAGTTGGAGTCTGATGCTGTTCCTTACCTCTTAATTATGGAACATGAGTTTTCCAAGCACCATGTATGTTAAAATGACATCTTTTCTTACCTTTGCTGTTATAAATTAAGCAGTTTATTAAATTGCTACATGAAATCTCTGATGTATTTATTGGAATTGCTTCAGTTATATCAATTTGAGTGACGAATTGATGTCTTTAAAATACTGAATTTTAATCTTTGTATATGCTGTAACTTCCTTTTTACCTGTGTTCTTCCATGAAGTTTTCTAGGAAAACTTCATATTTTTTTCCCATATTGGTTTACATATCTTTATACCTGTGACTTAGAACAGGGGCTGTCAAGCTAAATCCCACAGAACACAATTTATACCCCAATTTTTTTAATGTAAGGATGCTAGTTAAGAATTTTATAAGTAGTGGGAAAAAACCAAAAGAATATTATTGCATGTGAAAATTAAAATTTTAGTGTCCACAAATACTTTTATTGGAACATACAGTAATACCTCAGTTGATGAATGCTTCTGTTTATGAACAATTAGGTTGGCAAACAGAAACATTCGACAGAATTTTGCCTCCATTCTTGAACTCTGCTTCTGGTGACAGACATGACCGCAGCCATCTATTCCAGAATTGTGGAACAAATCAAATTCTTGAACCAAGATACTACTGTATATGTATTCATTATTAGATGACAGCATTTGTGTTACAGGTGACAGAAGTGGTTGTTTCAGTGGTGACTGTGGCCTGCATATCACAGAATGTTTGCTATTTGGTGCTTTGTAGAAAAATTTGACCCTCTGACTTAGAATTATTATTTGTCTTATGTTTCTTTGTGTATCACAGGATTCTCTTGTGTGTTGAAGGGAAGGTTGGGTAAGGTTTCACCTTCCTTTCCTTTCCTGCCATCTCCAGCTTCAGTAAGGTGTGAACTCATCCTGAGTCATGCTTACCACAATGAGTCCCATTCTTCAAATAGGTTTGAGCAGAGTGATTGGTTGAAAACTTGCTATCATGATTAACACAGTAACACCATACTTGTTTTGTTTTTTTTTTGGTTTGAGAATTTAATGTTAATAAAATACAACTTAATTTGTCTTTTTACTTATTTTCTCCTTTATAGGAAATTAAACGAGAAACAGACACTAAGGATGACAATTTGCCCATCAAACGGGAAAGGCATGGAAATGTAGCAAGTCTTGTACAACGAATAAGCACTTACGGCCTTCCAGCTGGAGGAATTCAGCCTCATCCACAAACCAAAAACATTAAGAAGAGTATGTAAATGATTCCATTCTTGCTTAATTAAAATAGGAGGATATATTATAGCTGTTCGTAAATTCAGTTTTCTGCAGCAGACTATAGTAACTTCAGCTTATTCTCAGATTATTGGTTACTGGCCTATGCAGCCAATCTTCATTTTTAGTCATGTGAAGTCTGTAACATACCGATAGCCATCTGTAGGAATTACAAACTGAAGTATAAGGCTTTGCTTTCTTACTAATATCACAGACTCTTTTAGATTAACACCTTAACTATAGCATTTATTTACTAGGATGCTGAAATGTCTGCTCATCCTTAACAGAGTAGACCCAAGAATTTTAGAAAGTTCTTTTTCTTCTGTGGTTAGATATCTGAACGTGGGCATTTAATTTCCAAATAGATTGTCCTAGCACCTATATTTAGATACTCTAAATATATTAAGAAAAAAACTTGGTAGAGAGAAAAAGTTAGTTTAAACCAGTGTGTCTAACCAAAAAAACAAATAAAACATCTGTATGTTAAGGCAGAGTGAATCTGCATGTGTTTTGATTTTGTGTATGCAACTGAAAAGATCTTCAAATAAGTCTGATGGTGGTTTGTTTAGTAGAATGAAGACTAGATTTTATTGGCATGGCGAACAGTTTTTCTCTAGTCATCACTGTGTTGTTGGCTTGTGTAGTTATGAAGCCATTGATACTTGTGTTCCTGCATGTTAGTAAGCAAAGTAATTTCTCTGGTAAAACAAGTATTTTTCCAGAGCAACCATAGAGTTGTATAATCTGAGAAAAATTGATTAAGTTGCTAAAGTCTCAGAAGAGAAGAAGTTTGCATTTCTCAAAGCCAAAACAGGTACAAATCACACTACTTGTGATACCTTTATAAAATCAAGCACAGTGATAGTGGTAGAGTACTGTTGTTTGATGTAAAAAGTTGGCATCTTTTGACTTTTCAACTCTATATTCAATGTGGAATATTGGTTCTTAATTCACTTTACATTTGAAAAAAAATTGATACTGGGTGGACTCTACTCTTGACATCATTGTTTGCTGACTTCCTTTGTTAGCAGAAACTCATGCTACAGAGGAAGTGACTTTTCATCTAGTTAATAATTATTTAAATGAAAAGGTACATTGAGATTGGCACTGATAGATTACTTGTAGGTTTACTGAAAGGAATGATGTTGCACATGAAAAACTAGCTGACAATACCACACATTGCTTCATTTCCAGAAAATGTGGTAGGGAATAGTATGCTTCCTGATTCTGAGTTGGTGCTGGAGACAGTAGTCAAAATTCTGGATACTATCACATTATGGCCACTGACTACATTTTTGTAGCATACCTTTTGAAAGAATGGATATATTAATTCAGGCTCTGCTCTTTGACATTGAAATACTCTATGGGAAAAAGATTCATTCAAATGACTCCTTGGTACAGCCTTCTAATGGAGTTAGGACATTTTTTCGGTCTTCCTATGTTTGCTGTTAATGTTTTGTCACATTGGCTTTATCTTCATATCTATACACAAATGCTAGTACTTTTTTTCACACAGTCCATTGAAAGTATATTGCAGGCATGATACTTTTGCTTGAATTTTTTCTTCTTGATTCTGATAAATGTTTCTAAGACTTTAAGTGTTAAGTAATGTATCTCAGAAGTATAGCTGGTGTCTTGAGCAGCTTGAACTGTTCATGTAATGGTGTAAATATTGTGAAACTTATTCCCAAAGATAAGAAAATAGCTTTAAAGACTGAATCATTTAGAAAATGTCTGAGGAGGGGAAGGGGAGAGATCAGAGTTAGAAGCTGGAATCTGGAAAGAATCCATATATAGATTGTGTTTAAAACTATAGGAAGAGATGTAGATAGAGACTAGGCTGGAGCTCATCAGTGGGTTGGGAAGGAAGAGTCACTGAGATCAAAGGAGAGAAGGGTGTGTTTCCAGAAGCACATACAACTATGTACAGTACACAGTACTTGATAGTGTGATAAATGACTGTTACTGTTTTATGTACTTATAACATGCTGTGCTTTTCATCCTTTAGAGCATAATCCTCCTTGTATAAAAGAGTTTACTGTAAAACAGTGTGCTGCTATGCCAGTGGTAGCCTCATCTATCTCATGTTTAACTGTGTATTTGGATAATATCAAGGGGCCATTACAGATGATTGACGTATACCTTTTCAGTTTGCTCTTAGAAGTTGGTACTCTGTGTGGTACTTTGTGATACACATGGATGAAATTGCCTTATAACTTATTTCTCAGATTATATTTCCATTATGTGTCACATGACTGTATTGAAATTTAAATTTAAAAAATTTGGCCTATGTGGAGTCTACTTAGCTAATTAGAATTTTTTTCCAGACCACTATTTGTTCAGTATTAGTTTTGAAAATCTTTCTAAAACAAATCACATCCTTTGATGTCTTGTTAATGCTTGAGATGTTTTTTTAAATTATATGGAAAAATGTTTAAGTACTTTTCAGCTTTGCTTTGGTTGAGTTCTATTATATTTGAATATTATTATAGTTTTTCCCCTTGCATTGCTTTTCTTTGAATAATTTTAATATTTGTATATGTGTATTTAGTGAATGATAATAAAGTTATACATTTAAAAAAAAAGAAAATGTCTGAATCACTCCTTCATAAAATTTGGTGACAGTATGCTCACTTATAGAATTGATTTCTCAAGAATTTAGGTGAACTAAATAGGTATTAACAACTGGCTTCAGTTAGAATTCAAGTCTCCTGACTTCCAAGCATGTGATATTTCTATTGCAGCAGCACATCTTTCTCTATAGAAAGTATTTAGAGATATTTATGGTCAGGATTTGAGGTAGTGAAATTCGGACTTTCTGGATTCCTTCTCAGGATTTTTCTTTGTTGCCACCTGTTATGAGTCATTATATTACCAAACCCTATTTTGTTGGTAAAACTACCCCTTTGATTTAGAATGTCTGTCACATTTATCTTACTAATTCTTGCATATTGTCTTATTCCTCTTTCATTGTATAATTCTATTCTATTCTTCCTTGAAGCCTTCCACTTCTGTCTCAATTCAGACTGTTCTTTCTATTAACTTTTGGAATATTTGTAGTTTGTACTGAATGTTTTACTGTATCACTGTGTATCATAACTTGTTTAATTCTTCAAGTGTGCATTTAAATTTTTAGGAAAAATGTTGTTAGGATTGTTGGTGGTAGGCTATTGATAGAATGTGTCCCTTCAGGGACATTATCAGTTGACATGAGTTCTGTATGGTTAGACCTTGATGCTCATTTATTCATCCACAGACATCTAATGAGTGCTGCTGAGGTTTGAATGATGTCCCTCCAATGTTCAGGGTGCAACTTAACCCTCATTGTGATGGTAGTGAGAGATGGGGCCTTTGGGAGGGGTTAAGAAGGCTGTGTCCTTACAAAGAGATTAGTACCTTGTGAAATGGCTATAGGAAAGTAGCTTTTTGCTCTTCCACTTTGGCCAAAGTGATGACTATGTAGCAAGGGGGTCCTCACTAGACATTGAATTTCCTGGCACCTTGATCTTGGACTTAGCAGCCTCTAGAATATGACAAAAAATTCTTTTTATAAATTTTCCAGTCTCAGGTATTTTGTTAAAGCAGCACAGACTAAGATAGATACATAGTATAAGCAAGATAGGTACTTATGTTGGGTGCTGGAGAGAGAGCAATCAGCAAACCCAATGTCCATTATTATTTAGCCCATAGAGTAGAAGAGGATACTCACAAGAAAATAAGTCACTGTGTTGCATGAAAAGAAAAAAGGTGAGTTATCAGTAGCAGGTAGGGTGCAGACTTCAGTCCGGCAGAGTACGTGACACTGTGGAAGCACAAAAGAATAGTACCTAGCACATAAAGCTATTTGAGGGTTAGTATTTTTTTTTTTCTCCATTAAGTTTATTGGTACATTTTCGGTATAAAATACAGTTACATTCATCATTGGGATCTTGTACCTTTACGTGAGTCTCTTGGTTCTTATTTTTTCCCCTTCTTTTGCCCTCCCTTCATCCCCCTCCACCCTTCCCTATTTGCAAAAACTTTGTTTCCATTTTTTTCCTTTTCTCATATTTTTTCTTTTCCCTTTTTTCCTTTCCCCTACCCCTCTCACTTCCCCTGCTCCTTTAGACCTTTTCTTCCTATGACACAATATCAATTATACATTTTAAAAATTACAATATCAAGATCTAAGAGACATTACCACAGATTTTACAGAATTTAAAAGGATATAGAAAGCATATTACAAAAATCATTTTTGAAATAAATTTGACCACTTCTAAGAAGTACCTTGGAAGACAAATTAATGAAACTAACTCTGGAGGAAATATAAAATTTGAATAGCACCTATTAAAGTATATTCCTAGCTTGAAAACCTACCCATATGACAACAGCAGGCTCATATACATTTTAACTGATAAATTATATCAAACATTTAAAGCAGAAAAAAGAAGGAACACTTCTCCCCTCATTTTAGGAACTCAACATTGTGCTAATCCTAAAACTGGGTAAAGATAATAGAAGAAAAAAGTATGAACATAGATAGAAATTTGCTTAACAAAACAAAGTATTAGAAGTCAGATCTGGCAGTATGTAGAAAGTGGTTTTGTTATAGGGATGGCAGTGTTGGTTCAGCATTGGAAGATCCACCCCCAAAAGTCATCATTTTAAGAGAGGAAAGGAAAAAGCCGTATGATCCTGTCACTAGTTGGAGAAAAAGTATTGGACTAAATTCTACAGCTGTTCATGGTAAAAGCTCTCAGGAGACTAGAAGTAGAACAGAACCTTCTCAACAGATTAAAGACATGTATTCCATACTTTCAGCGAGAACGCCTTATATGAGTGGAGAAGATAAAGGCTTTCTCCTTAAGGTGGGGAACAAGGGCAGATATGCTTACTCTTTATCTGTCCATTAAACTCTGAAACCTAGGCCCAACCAAAATAGTCTGGCAATAAAATGACACAATTAGGATAGGATTGGCAAAGTAGAAGATGAGGCTTAGTATTTTCTAAACTGAGAACTGAAGAGGAATTGAAGGCAAGTCAAGTGAGCTTTATGATGAAAGTCTTTTTGGCGAAAGAAACAAGTTTCAGAAATAATTGGGAATGCCATGTTTAAGGCATATATTCTATTTAGTCATCCATGTGAGCCTTGTGATTAAAAAATGTGGTATGTGAATGAAGGTGCTCTCTTTCAAATGGTCTTTTCAACCTGATTTTCTGTTGTTGCTTCCCTTAGAGACCAAGAAGCGTCAGTGTAAAGTTCTCTTTGAATACATTCCACAGAATGAGGACGAGCTGGAGCTGAAGGTGGGAGATATCATTGATATTAATGAAGAGGTAAGGATGCCATGGGAGTGATCACCAGCCGTTATTTAAATGGTAGTCTGAGGCCGGAGATTTAGCTCAGTGGTTCCGCTGCCTGTCTTGTAAGCGCAAGGACCTGAGTTCAATCCCTGGTACAAAAAAAAGAGAAAGTCTGAGTTCAGAAAAATGCTTGGAAAGAATATTAACTTTTAGTGAGAATTTATGCCAGTTTGTTTTTAATAAAATTAAAAGGTGTAGATTTTCTTTATTCACTCTTGCTCTATGCTAGTATTTGTGTATTATAGTTGTAGACTTCATTTGAATTAGAAAAAAAAACTTATTTTAAGCTTAAAATTAAAGAGTGAGGACATGGAAGAGTTTTTTTCTCTGATTCTGAATTCACTACAGGCGTAAAGCAGTTCTTTTTGGATAATAAAGGGATGCAAAACAGAAGCTTGTTAAAAGCTTTGCCCTGTTTGAATTATTGCAGTCAAATATTAGCCATAAATACCTTTTCTGACCAGGTGTAGTGGTGCACACCTGTGATCCCAGCACTCAGGAGGCTGAGGCAGGGGGATTGCTGCTAGTTTGAGGCCAGCCTGGGCTGCAGAGTGAGTTCAAGGCCAGTCTGAATTTTGTAGTAAGACCCTGTCTCCAAACAAACAGCCAAACCAAAGCACCCTCACTTTTGTACAGTTTAGTATTTATTATGAGATATAAAAATCTTTTTAAAATCATTTTTCACATCTCTGCTTTCATCATTGAAGGAGTATTAAAGTTTTGTTTGGCGTATTTTCAAAGTGTGTATTTTGATACCATGTAGCAAGGATTGATTTTGGAGGGGGTCTTACCAATACTGTAAAGTAATTTACCACTAATGTTTAGGTTAACTTCCAGTGTGTTTATACAAAAGACAGTTCTATCTTATTTCTAGATGGTAGCAGTAATAATAAAACATTTATTGAGTATTAAGCCTATATCATGTATGAAGTACTCTACTCTTTCACATTTATTATTTCCTTTAAACTTCCTTTTTTTAAATCCCCAGCCGCCCAAAAAGCTTTGAACAGTTTATGCTTACTGCCTTACCTTGCTCCTTCAGAGAGCTTATTATGTTCTAGCCACCTTGCACTTATTTCATTCTTCCTTTCATGAATAAATCATTTATTCCTAGTTCATCATATTTTTCATGTGCTTTTTAACCTGGAAAACTCTTACTCGGGTTTTAATTCTGTATTCTTCTATCCTTTTAGACAGAGTGTTTTTTTGATTGATTCAAGCACTTGCTTTGTGCTCCCATAGTATTTTGTTCATATTTTTGTTATAGCACTTCTTACATTGTATTGTAATTATTTTCTTATTGTGCATTTTCTTCCTGAGATTGTTCTCTTCAACAGCAGGGATTCTCATGTACAAATTTGAATTTCTTTTTAGTAGTTAACACTGTGGCTTGTACATAGTGAGTGCCTGTTAGATGAATAACTTAAAAGTTTGCTTTGAGATTATGATTAGGCAGAAAACTAGATTTTTCTAGCTATGATGTTTCATATACTACTGCTAAATAAATTTTGATAGTTTACATATTAAAAATTGCCTTTACTCATTAAAATTAACTGCTTAGGATCCTTGGCAGAAATCATACATTTCGAAAAAATTATTAACCTCATGGAAATTGAGTAGTGTTATTATTAGTGAATGTAAATATTTTTCTATCAGACCTTGATTAATGAGGATATTTCTGTTTGAAGAAGGGTGTTTAGTCGAGTCTGATACCTGAATTTTTAAAAGTAAGAAATTCTTTTTTCATACTGTGGTAAAAATTCACTGTTCAATGCAGGGTTAGTAATTTTTTGTGGCATTTAGGAAGTTACATTCTTATAATCATCAAACTGCGTCCAGGTCAAAAATTTCTAAATACGGTAAATAATGTACATTATAATATTAATTATTATTTTTTTTTTTTTGGTGCCAGGGATTGGTACTGGGGATCACACTCAGAACTTTGTGCTTGGCAGGCAGGCATGGGCGCCATTGAGCTAAATTCCCGGTCCTCATAATAGTAATGTGTAAAAGAGTAACATTCTAAAAGAGAGCTCTGTACTTCTTTATGCCTATCTGATACTTTCATGAAAAGTACTCATTTCATAGATGGTTTTCACTGTGTTACAAGGTGCTATCCATACGATTAATCCCATACATAACTAATTCATGTAGATGTAGTCTACTTAAAACGTATCTTCCCCTTTGTGTTTTCTTGCTTTAAAGAGTTTATTTTGCATCATGCATGTATCTGTTTTTGTAGCTTCATTTTTCCACAGGGTAGGGTTTTCTCTTAAAAGATATTTTTAGTATTTTTGAGTTGTGTACTGTTTCAGGTGGAAGAAGGCTGGTGGAGTGGAACCCTGAACCACAAGGTGGGATTGTTTCCCTCAAACTTCGTGAAGGAGCTGGAGGGCACAGACGACGGTGATTCTCTAGAAGCCCAGGATGAGCCAGGTAGAAGAAAAAAGTTCCTGCATAGATTTAAATGCGCTAACTGTGTATGGTTGCTTTAGGTTTAGTAGTTTTTGAAACTGTTCTTATTTTTAAACTTTCAGTCACTTAGTCTGTTTTTATGAAGGACATTATGATGAAGATAGAAGGGAACTAAATATCTAGTCTAGTGATGGCGAACCTTTTAGAGCTTTCAATGATGCAAACATCCTTCTGTGGCACACCTGTCATAGCTGTGTCACCACTGATCAAATAATTTCAAATCTTTCTTTTCTCTGATCGCTGCTTCAAGCATGAATAAATTTCTTTTTTTTTTGGTACCGGGGATCGAACTCAGGTCTTTGTGCTTGCCATGCAAGTGTCGGAACCACCTAAGCTAAATCCCTGGCCCCAAACTTTTTTTTTATGAATAAACTTTTAATACAGTGACTAAAATGCTATGTTATCTACTCTCTTTCTGCTTTGTACGATACATTCACTATGTACTTTTTTGTTGTTGTTGTTTGTTTTTTTTTTTTGGTACCGGGGATCGAACTCGGGTCTTTGCGCTTGCGCAGCAGGCGGTGAAACCACTGAGCTAAATCCCCGGCCCCCCGCAAAAGAAACTTTTTTATTGTTTTCCATACTCACATAATAGATTTTCTCTGTGCACTTGTCATTTGTTTTGTGATGTCATTTCGATACAGTACACACAAATTCATCTTAATTTGCTCAGTTTTTAAGAGTGTGATTCTGAAAATTTTACCCCAGGCTAGATTTAAATTTTGTTACTTTAAAGTATTTCTGTTGGATTTAGAAGAAAATGTTTTTAAAAAGAGAAATTAAGTTTGAGTGGTAAGCAGGAATGAATAGATCATTTTCTTTTCCAGGGATTAAATCCAGGGCCTACACAATGAACTACAGTCCTAGCCCTTTTTAAATTTTGTATTTTGAGACAGGGTCTTGCTAAGTTGCCCAGGCTGGGTTCGAATTTGCAGTTTTCCTGCCCCAGCCTCCATGGGATTATGGGTGTACGCCACCATGCCTGGCTAAGTAATGTTTCTCTTGATGGAAAAATACATATATAGTGAGGATTTTCATGGACTTATGCTTGTATTAGGCAGTACCTGACAGTTTTATGGTTGTTTTCTGAGTTAGTGTAATGTCCACGTATCATGCTGAGGTAGGTATATGTAGCTCAGTGGCAGTGTTTGCCTAGTATGTGCAAGGTCCTGGATTCAATCGCCAGCACCACCGGGAAAAAAAGAAAAGAAAACTATGTTATCATTTCCAAACAGGGGCACTGATCTTTAACATCTCGATCTAGATACCCTGTACTAAGGTGTGGGGCATGTAAGATGGCAGCAGCTATGTCCAACTATAATTCTTTGTAAAATAGGAGTAATAATTATTACCCAAAGGGGTCATTGTGTGGATTCACAGTTTCCAAGCATAATGCTTGTGTCATTGTGAATTGTCTTGAACTATTCACTTTGCTTTCTTTTGTCAGTACTTTGAATATTTTATATAAAGATATGCAAATATTTTGAAATTAAGTAGGAAAACATTATAGGGTTGTACATGTAACATGGATTTATAAGCCATAAAGTCCTCAATGGTAAGGGGGTGATGCTGTTTCAAGGCCTTATTAGTGGGTGAGGCTGGGCAGTTCCTGCACAGAGGCATCCCCAGATATGTCTCTTTCCCTGACACTCATTGGTATCTGGCCGTCTCTCTCCCTTTCTGTGCTGGTACCTATAATTCCAATTTAATATCACAGGGTATATTCTAATTTCTCATGATTTCTTCTCTCGGCCCATCAGTCATAGACATGCATGAAGAAGATGATATTTATTTTCTGCCATACTATCTCATTTTCAATCCTTTACTCTTCTTTTTCTTTAACATCCATGCTTTTCTGTGTATTGTTAACTATATTTGAAGATTTATGTGAGATTGTCATTCTTTAAAATCATGCTGTTCTTTCAGACTGTGTTCTGACTGCGCCAACCTCGCCTTTACCTTCACCGGGGAATGGTGGTGAGACTGCACCAGGAACAGTCACTCAGCCAAAGAAAATTCGAGGAATTGGGTTTGGAGACATTTTCAGAGATGGGTCTTTGAAACTTAGGACAAGAACATCCAGTAGTGAAACAGAAGAGAAAAAGCCAGAAAAGGTGGTAATGATGAATTTAACTTAGATTATCTTTAGTCATTCTCTCATTAAACTTTTTTAAAACATGAAAACTTTACAACTCTGTTACATTTCTTTTTTTGGAGGTCATAATACTTTGGTTATAATGAGAAGTCTGTGGGAAACTTTTCTTTCTAAATGTACAATGATTAATATTCTTATGTATGAATCTTACTAAATTAGGATGCTTATTTCTTGGTAAATTTTTCTTAAGAGGCTTTAGGATTTTTAGTTATCACAGTATAAGTAGAAAAGGGAAAAGTATTTTGCTTTTATTTTTTGCCCTTTTAAGTTAAAATTTTATTTTTCTTTTAATTTGAAGTACACCTAGAATGAGTTGATTTAAAGGGAATTCACGAGGAGATATTAAATTAATTCAGTATTAAACCTTCCTCTGGATTGTCAGTAATGGTTACATTTACTGATCTCTTCTGAAAGTATGTACTTTTATTTTTTCATTAGCATTTTACTGGCATTGTCAAGTGAAGCAAAGTTAATGAACCGTAATTTGTAAGATTTAATAAAATGCTTTAAAATAAACCTGCACATTTTTATTTTGAGGGAAAAATAACTATGGCGCAGTCTTTAAAACATTTCTGTCAAAGTTTTTGCTCCTCGTGTTAGTATTTTGGAGATTCAGATTTTTTTTTTTTGGTACCGGGGATTGAACTTGGGTCCTTGAACTTGCGGGGCAGGCAGCAGAGCCACTGAGTTAAATCCCCGGCTTCCAAATTGTTTACTTTGGGTAGGAGGGAGGCATCTTTGAGTTTAAGGGGAATGTTTCCCCATAGCTATCGTTTGTATCTACTCTTGATATTAAAATATTTCTGTATTTATTTGCTTAATTTACCTACATTTCATTTATAAGGCTATTTTGATTAGTGAAATAATATTCTGTACTTTGCTCTCAAAATAGTTGGTTTTGACATTTCATTTTTCTTAGATTGTTATATATATTTCCATGTAATAGTGAGTTGGGTTCAGGAAGAACTTTTGCTTTCTACTCTGCACTTTCCTAGCTCTGAGACTGTATAGTTCTAAGATTTTAGGGTCTTGTTGAATGGCATTCCCAGTTTTTGAAATTGTGCTCTAATCATATGACAGCTAGAAATATTGGAGAAGCAGCTCTTGTGTCGTGAGGGACATTAGATAGATGATTTAGGGTCCCTTCCAACTCTAAAAGCTAATGATTAAACTGGATAACTAACTATTTGGCTCTTTTTTTTTTTTCTGTCCCGGGGATCGAACTCAGGACCTTGTGCTTGCAAGGCAGGCAGCAGCACCACTGAGCTAAATCCCTGGCCCAGTATACTGGATAATTATTGATTGATGATTATATTAGTAATCTTAATAATCACCATTAATAATGTCTACCACTCAGAGCTGTAGGTGACACCAGTTTTGAAAGTAGAGTGGTGAGGATTGGGAGAAATTAAAGGAAGTGTCTTAGGTAAATACAAAATATAGTGACAGGTAAGTTAGCTGTATGTTCAAATATTTTATTAAATCTAAGGTTGAATGTGCTGTTATTTCTGGGGGCAAAACTTAAACACTTGTTCAGAGTAGTGAAGAATTTATTATAGTTACAACAGAAAATGGCTATGTGGACTCTGTAAGGGATCTAATATTACCTAAATATTTTCACTTGGAGAGTAATAACATATAAAGAGCGATCACATTTTAAAGTTTTGTGGTAAGAGTTCATTTTCTGGAGTCAAACTTTGTAGGTTCTGATCTGGGCCCCACTAATAAATTAGTTATGTTGGGAGATTATTTAACTGCTTCCTAATCTACAAAAGGGAAGAATAACAATGCCTACTTTGTGCAGATAGTTATGAGCATTGAGATATATGTAAAGTGCTTTTATTATTCTTATTTAAAACTTCTAAATTAAATTATAATAATGCATTATGAGTATCAGCATTGTCTTAACAATTAGTACTTATGAGTTAACATTTAAGGAACTTTCAGAAAGTTTGATAACTGTAAATGGAAACTATTTAGTAAAATATCATTATTGTAACTTAATTTAGTTTTAACTTAATTTACTTGACCCCATCCTTCTCTTTTTTAGCCCTTAATCATGCAGTCTCTAGGACCCAAAACCCAGAACGTGGAGATAATAAAAACAGACACCGAAAGTAAAATTAAAGGTAAGTTTTAAAATAAAACTTCTTCTGTAGGAGCCATTTGTTACATTACTGAAAAGAATATTAAATTCTACTGGACTGAGCAGTGTGAGGTTAGATTTTGGAATATTGTGTTCACTGATACACCCTTGCAGTAGGGCTGTGACTGGGACATAGCATATTTTTAGTAAATATTTGAAGAATTATTAATGGAATTGTTTCTTAACATACATTATTAGCTATAAGTTTAAAGTTTTAAAATATAAATTTGAATTGTTTATTTTCAATAGCTGCTTGTATATTTTACTTTACATAAAATAGAGGCTTGGTACATATTTACTGAATTGGTCAATTTCTGTTTTTTGTGTTTTTTTTGTTTTTTTTTGGTACCAGGGATCGAACTCGGGCCCTTGCACTTGCAAGGCAGGCGGCGAAACCACTGAGCTAAATCCCCGGCCCCGAATTGGTCAATTTCTATAAGCTACTATTTCCATTCTCTTTTTCAGCTAAGGAATATTGTAGAACATTATTTGCCTATGAAGGTTCTAATGAAGATGAACTTACTTTTAAAGAAGGGGAGATAATTCGTTTGATAAGTAAGGTAAGGCTTTTTTTCAGTGAATCATTTAACTTATTTGCAGAAATATTTTTCAGAATTCTACATTGTCCCTAGAATGTAATTTCTGGAAGAACTGGGACTTTTTGTTTGTTTCTGGGTCCACAGAACCTGGTACATAAGTGTCCAGAAAGTTGTTTTGTTTTTGTTTTTTTGAGAGAGGATCTTGCTGTGTGTTCAGGCTGGTGGCCTTATCGTCATTAAGCAGCCGAGGCTGGCCTCAAACTCATAGTGATCCCTCTGCTTCAGCCTCCTGAGTGCTGGGTTTACAGGCATGTGCCACCATACTTGGCTAGAAAGTTATTTTTTTAAGCTAACTTTTATTGCCTATTTTTGTCATAACTGATAGATTGGAAGTTGGTTAGTGATCACATTGGTTTTCTCTTTATTGACCCTGGGATTTCTGTCCTCACTTCTATGCCATTTCCTTAATTTATTTTTTGGAGCATTGTTTATAACATTCAAAGAAGAAAAATAGGGAAACAACCTAAATGTCCATCAATATGTGTCATGAAAGTTCAGCCTGTGGAAAATGATGCCGTTATTTCAACATCTGAAGTGATTTTAAATCTTGGAGTGAATTGTAAGACCGAAGAAGAGGAAAACCCCATAGTATTTGGATACAGACAGAACAATAAGAACTATTTATCAGAAGATTATAAATTTTTCATTAAAATCCTATAGAGCATTTTAAAAGTTTTCCCGTTGTCTTAAATTGACTTTTTTCAGATGGCTTAGTATATGTAATTTCTAAAATATATTTTTTATCTTACATTTAAAGTATATAATGTATTATAAAATACAAGTAGTAAAAATTATTATAGTGAAGCAATGAATATGCATGATCTCGGTTACCCATGTGGTAAAGCAAGTAGAATCTGTTTACCATGAGTCACACAATGTTTGTGATTTTTAATAGTTTTGAGGTTGGGGCTGATGACATCTAGTTTTTCGTGCAAGGGTGGATTAGGGTAAGGGTTAGGGCGGGTCTTTGGAAGGAGCTTAGAAGAGCTTCTAATTTCTAATGCTGCTAAATAAGTAATTTTTAGTATAAAGTGTTAAGAAGAATGTTAAGAGCTTAGGAATTCTTATTTTCTCTCTCTTTACCTTCTTTTTCACTTCTTTTCCTTCTTTCTTTCCCCGAGAACCTTTTAACCTCGTAGATGAAATTTCAAAGTTGAGTTACCTTTAAAAATCAAACTCAGTTTTGTAACTGCTGTTAAAAGTAATATGTAGGGGCTGTTTCTTTCAGAAGGACCTTCTGATGTGCTTAGGTTGTTTTTCTTGTAAAGATAATGGAATTTAGTATTTTTCCTACTTTATTGTAGACTTTCCCCTCATTTTATGTTAATTCCCTTTATTTTAATTAGTCTTTGTCTTGCTATTTAGGAGACTGGAGAGGCTGGCTGGTGGAAGGGTGAGCTGAATGGGAAGGAAGGAGTGTTTCCAGACAACTTTGCCATTCAGATCGGTGACCTGGATAAGGACTTTCCTGTAAGCTTCTGTTTTCAATGATAATTCTTTAACATTTTGCCAGTATTTTTTCAAAAACATTTTTTCACTGTTATTAAATAATTTTTATGAGGGAGTTTCATAAAATTATATATTTAGATAAAAGTTATTTGAATTAAAGTAAAACAAAATATTTCAGTTCTGTTCTTATAACCCTTCCCCCACACTATATAGATGTACTAATGAGTTACTTTAGACTTATTCATAATTTAAAAAAAGAAAAAAGGTCTTTGGATGGTTGGATAAATTAGTAATTTCTCAGATTAAAAAATCTGTATTTTTAAATTGTTTAAAAAAATTTTTTTTGGTACCGGGGATTGAACTCGGGACCTTGTGCTTGGGAGGGAGGTGACGGAACCACTGAACTAAATCCCTGGCCCCTGTGTGTATTTAATGTTGAAAAACTCAAGTTTATTTCAAGATACCATGAAGCAAAAATTTTTGCCTCTTCATAGGATTTAATATTTCTTTATCAGTTTTCAAAGAGAGTCATTTTTCAGTGATCTTTTGCTTGATCCTTTTCCCCCCAGAGGGGATGTAACTGAGTTTATGATACAGAAGGAAAGATTCTTCAACAATGGAAGTGCACTGCAGGACAGACCACCGGATGTGGCATAGGCAGTGCAGCATCTCCGGGCTTCACAGGCTCCTGTTCAGGTGCACGGACTGTTGTTACACTAGGGAGGCAGAGGTTGTCTCAGTCGTTCCTTTGCTCCGTGGTATCCAGCATTGATTCAGCCTTTGGTATAGTTTACTCTTTACACTTTTTTTTAATGAACATTTTTCTGCTTTTATTATGTGTTTACATATTATTGCTTATCATGTATTCTTAATTTAGATTTTTAAGGCATTAAATTGTCTTAAAAATGAGTGAAAGCTTATAAATTGAGGCAGAGACCATTTGTCACCTTGAACCTTCTCTTTGAGAGTTTTGAAGAGTTAAGAGTGAAGTCTGTTTACTATTGCTCTTATCATGTTTTATTAAACAAGTCCTCTCTTCCCCTGTCCTGATGTCCATGCTATGCTCTGTCCCTGCGTTGTGAATGTAATGTATTTAGGAATCTCAAGCTACAGAAGACAGGATGGAATATTCTCGCTTAAAAAGACTTTTTAGATTATCTAATCCATTGATAACTTTAGAAATATTTGACTGAATTTTGTCAAGGAGGCTATTCTCATGGAATCAGTTTGTTCAGTGGCCTTCTGTGGGATGGTTAGAATCTTAACATTTTATCATTTTTGGCAAGGATGAGCTAAGGAGAGCTCCTCATATTAAATTATAATGATTAGAATTCAACTATAATATGTAATTGGTTGACCATTTTTACCATTGTTATGTTAACAGAAACCAAAGAAACCACCACCTCCTACCAAAGGTCCAGGTATGTAAAAAAATATATTGTTCAGTTTGCCTTTCTTCATATTTTTATATTCCAAAATGGTAAGACTGAGTTTAAGGTAAACCATTATTTTTTGAAGACAAGGACAATATGTATAAAATTGTCTAGCTTTATATAGAAACTGAGTGTTCATGTGCATTATTATCTATCATTATTTTTTAAAATACAAATGATATAAAATTGGTATCTTGAAAATATTTGGATACTTTAGTTATATGAGATGTTGAATAAAATTGAGTTTAAACCTGTTTTATAAAATAATGTATTGATTGGCCAATTATTCTACCTATTTTTATTTGAACAAAAAATTTCTTTATAACAAAGTATTAGTAGGTACCTACATATGATTAGTATTGTACAGCTTTTGTTTCCGCACTCTTACCTTATATACATTATTATATGGGTAATTACATACATATAATAATGTATATAAGGTAAGAGTGCGGAAACAAAAGCTGTACAATACTAAGAATCCCTAAGGGGCAAATTGAAGTCCAGATGAAGACATTCTTCTAAATTCTCAGTCTTCATTGAGTATCAGAACCCATCAGTCTTTTATTCCTTTGCTTGTGCATTGTGTTATCCACACTGTACATGTGATTGGCTCCCTGGGTTTTATTTCATTTCATTCTTCACAGGTACAGATCGCTAGGTGCTCTTTTGGGGGTTGAGCATTCTTCTGGTGTTCATTGTTGGTCCCTCTGTTCCTCCAAGCAGAACCCTTCACCTTTTTAAATAAAACTCACTTCTTAAGGTCTCAAGCAAATACTAGTATTCTTGTACCCTTTTTTCAGAGGTCATGTTAAGGGTTATATGAGACATATGAGGTATTTTAGTTTTTTAAACAGTTGAATAAATTATGGTACATCTACAGGTGTCTTCTAGGGTTAAATGTAGAATGTGGCTATTTCCACAAATTCTCTCCCTAAATTTCTGATTTTTATGTAAATTTTTTACTTCTTGAAAGATACATTATCTTCTAGAATAATCCAAAGCTGAGCTCCCGCTTGTTTTCAGCTTAATGTTTGGTGACCTAATTCCAGGGCAAGGAAAGCATAAATTAAAAGTAATTTTTGTGCAGGTTAGGATTGTGGGCTTCCTATAAAGCTATACTATTTAATATGGCAGCCACTAGCTACATGGGTCTTTTAAAATTAATTAAAATTCAATGAAATACATAAAATCAGTTTCACAGTTGCAAAAGTCACATTTCAAGTGCTTATTAATCATATATTGAACAACACAAAAATAGAACATTTTCACCATCAGAGAAAGTTCTGCTGCACTATAGTGTGGCAGAGGATATGAACTCTGATTCCCAAGTTTGACAGAGAAAGAAGTGGGATCACAGAGTTGTTAGAGTAATAGTGATATTGGCAGGTCCCGGATTATAAATTGAGCCGAGTGATTCTGGCACATTATCCTTTCTCTTAAACCGTGGTATCTCCTGATGTTATTTTAAACTGTTTTTTACTTTTTAGTAGTATATTTGTCTCTCTGCTCTAAAGTTATTTTTGAAGGTGTTCAGTTTGTGATTTTATACCTCTAGCTCCAAAGCCTGACATGTTAGCTGCAGAAAAGAAGCTTTTGCCTACAAAGCCTGAAGAAAAAGGTGAGACTGAGTCACCCTTTTCTCTGGTCCTTTCTTTCATTATTTTAAAGGAATGTGTCTTTTTACAATGGGTCATTTATACCAATTTTTGGCAAGTTTATACTTACTAATGTTTGAAGATTTCTGGAAGGGGGAGTAGTTTATCAAGATTGATAGGAAATTAAGCTTGCACTCAAACTGATTCCAATTTACGTTGCTTAAAAATTATTTCTTCAGTAGGATGTAGTACTTAATTATAGTTATTTCAAATAATATATAAAGAAATTAAGCTTTAAAAAACTGACTTTGTATTGTTTTAATCGTGTTTCAGTTAAATTGTTTTTGCTTTTTTGAGACAGAGTCTCCCTCTGTAATGCAGGCTGGCCTTGAACTCACTAGCCCAGGCTGGCCTTGAACTCAACAGTGATCCTCCTATCTCAGCTTCCCTAGTGCTGGGATTACAGGCGTGCACCAACACATCTGGCTAGTTAGGATGTTATGTGACACTTGAGTTCCTACTGCATTTGGTTCTTTACATTTCATTTTCAGAATGTGATCTAGATTTAAATCTAGGTAATTTTCTGCTTATAGTAAAATTACTTGTGGTTATTTTTTGAAGTAGAAAACCATCATTAAAAACAATGAATGCTGGGAACATACTAAAAAGTAGGCATTATTTGTTAATCAGAACATTATTAGTGGTTTCTGTCCCCATCAAAGTTAACACTTTTTTGGAGATGGGTATTTGAGCAGGGTCTCACTATGCAGCCCAGGCTGGCCTCAAACTCATAGCAAAAATCCTCCTGCTTTAGCCTCCCTAGTTCTGGGACTACAGCCAGTGCCACCATGCCTGGCAAAGTAAATTTTTAAAACTACTTCTGTTTATCAAAGTGTAATTTTTAAATCAGGCATGGTGATGCACACCGGTAGTAACTAAACCCTTCTCCTTCATAAGCTGTAACTAAACAATGCTTACATATACAGATATAGAAAATGAAAATTCGTATCTGTCTCTGCCTCACACTTTTCCAGCCCAACAGAACTTTAAGAAATAGAAAATCTCAATTGTTTTGATTAGTAACTTATTGAATATTGTTTGATCACTAGATGAAAAGTCACTGCTGGAGCAGAAACCTAAACCAGCTGCTCCACAAGTCCCACCCAAGAAGCCTACTCCACCCACCAAAGCTAACAGTTTGTTGAGATCTCCTGGAACAGTTTTCCCAAAGAGGCCTGAAAAACCAGTTCCTCCACCACCTCCTTCAGCCAAGTAAGTCTGCCCAACTTTAAATTGGCTCATTGACTGACCTTCCTTTGGCCCAAATGGCTCTGTTACCTTTCTAAATCTCAAATTAATTCCTTTGAGTATTTGTTCTCTATAGATTGCAGTATTTCTGTTAAATGTTAATCTCATATTATCTTATATTCATAATATATGGATACACTGACATTTTTTACACTTCTGATTTATTGTGGTCAGTTTTAAGATAGAAGTTTATGCTTCATGAAAAATTTTTTTACAGAATAGAAAGTAATCAGTATTATGTTATAAAATCTTCAGTGTTAACAATTATAACAGTACAATGTTAAAGATCACCACAGTGTAAAAGCATCGTATTTCACATTCAGGTGATTTTTGTGTATGCTTGTTTTTCTTATTTCAGGATTAATGGAGAAATTTCTACCATTTCATCAAAATTTGAAACTGAGCCAGTATCAAAACCAAAGCTAGATTCTGAACAGTTGCCAGTTAGACCAAAATCAGTAGACCTTGATTCACTTATAGCAAGAAGCTCTAAAGAAACAGGTAAGTCAGTATGGATAAAAGTAGTGTGCTTAAAAAAGTGGTCAGTATAGTTTTAGAAACTAAGAGATTTGTGTATGGGTAAATATAGAGGAAATTTGTTTAAAATTCAGTAGCCAACCTAGAAAAATAAACTTGAAGATAAGTTGGGAGAGTTTTTAAGCTTCTTCTTGGTCAGAGGATTCTTACTTAGCAGATCGCAAAAGTGGATATAAGTTTTCATAGTGGTCAGAGGACTTGAAATGAATGTTCAAGAAGCCACCCATGGATTATTCTGTGTCTTCATAGTGGGATGAGAGATATACCACTGTCAGTCAGATACGAGGACAGTTTACTTTTAAGGGTTTAAAGTCAAAGTGACTAAGACTTTCTGTGCCAACACTAGTTTATATTTGGTAAGACTTTTTAAACATTTTCTTTTAATCTAGAAATACTTTTGTTTCCAATAGAGGATATACTTTTTAAAAATGGCTGTAGGTAACAGTAGGCTTTACTTCTTTTGCTAAATGTTCTTTCTTCACATTATGACTGATTTTTCACCTTTGTCTAGTCTACACTTCTTTCTGATTTTTATACCCTATTAGTTGTAAAAGTGAAAAACTTGACACAGGTATCTTAAAGTTCTCCCTGTTTAAAGTAGTACACAAACATTACTTTGTGGTAATGATTATTATTTTGTGTAGTGCTTTCCATTTGTTTGTAGCTTTTTACATTTGTCAAAGCACTTTTCATACATGTTCTCTTTGCAGTAACTCAAGGAAATTGATGTTATTTTTCCCCTAGGTTATGTAAGCTGTAGAGACACATCAAATGTGCACAAGCACATAAGTCAAAAGAGAAGTCTTTAAATTCTTTCATATAAAGTGCCCTATGATACTCTTTTAAAAATCTTCAGTGTTAACATTTCATATTTACATTGAAACTTCAAAGCCATTTAGTTTCTTTTGGGGCGGGGGAGTCACTGTATAGTAAAATACACTATCTTATTTCATTTTTCTTGCATCTTTTTAGTTTGCCAATGCAAAGGGTCTGTTTTATCATGTTCACGACGGGGCCACAGTTCACATGTCTGTCTGCCAGGCAGCTCTGAACCACCACTGGGACACACATGACTGTCCTGCACTGTCAGTGCTACAAGCTGCCCGATAGGACTGTCATTGTCATGCATGTATCACTGGTGGTTCAAACTGGCGGGAACATGTGAAGTATGGCCTCTTTTCAGTCTTTTGTTTTTGTTTTTGTTTTTTTGGTACTGGGGATTAAACTCGGGTCCTCTCGCTTGCGCAGCAGGCGGTGAAACCACTGAGCTAAATCCCCGGCCCTCTTTTCAGCCTTTTGACTGGATATTTCCTAAATCTGTTTGTCATGTATTCGGGTCCTGTCTGCTGTGGGTGATGCCATATTCATTAATTTTTGAGAATTGAGATGTTGATTATAGTTTAGACAAAGTTATTGAAAAATATATAGTATGTCTTATCTGCTGAAAATTCACCTTACTGTTAGACAAAAATGAAAAAAGCCTTTATTTTTTTCTGTAGAGGTCAGAATTTTAAAATACAATATTACCAGGTATTTTGATTAAAATTTAGTCAGAAATGTGTTTTCAAAATTGATAGTTGAAGAAAGCAGATTTTTTTGGGCCCTATTGTAACTCTGAAAACAAAAAATATCCATTGGTATTATAGTATTTTTTGAATTTCCACATTTTTCTGTAATTTTTGTAACAAAAACCTTAAATCTTGATGGAGTCCTATTGGGAATGAAAGAGTCTCATTTAGTACCCGTGTTTTTCTGTTATTTTGTACATTTTCCAAGTTACAAGGTAGTGGAAATATTTTTTAAAATTTAGGTAAAACAATTTTTTCCTGTTTCAAAACTTGTTCTGTGTACATTGACCAACAAGCTTTGTTTGCTTTGCTGCATTTCTAGTAGAAATAATACACACATCAATTTCTAACTGTTGGTGATACACAAGTCCTGTTGTTTAACTTTATTTTGGGGTCCCTTTTTTTTTCTTATATCTATAGAGGTTATTTGATACTCATGGAAATGAAGCTTTGTGGAACAGAGTTTGAAAACTTCTAACTTCTAGTTTAATTATTTTTCTTTAATAAGTAAGGAAATAATCTAGAGGTATGACACTTAACACAAGTCAGAATAGGAACAGCCAAGTTCTAAGCTTCTGTCATTTCTTCTGCTTCCTTAGGCTGACTTTGATTCATCATATATATATACTCTGTTAAGTATATATATTTCTCAATTTCTCAGAAAAGAGAAATTGAGAATTGAGTTCATGTTGAGAAGCAAGTATTTACTGAGCTCTTTTTACATTCTCAGTAGTATTTTAGACACAGGTTGTATGCTAAGATAAAAGGCACAGTTGCTGATAGCAAATAGCTTCTGTCCTCTTTGTTTCATGAGAATGGCACATGTTCCAAGCATAGGATGTGTCTCCCTTCTCCCAAATGATTTTTTGAGATGCTCTTGGAGTTTGGAATATTTACATACATGTGAGATATCTTGGGCATGGCACCCAAGGGTAAACATGAAGTTCACATTTGAGAACCGCCTCAAATTTGGCATTAATGTATAGTTTATATTTTTTAGCTTAGTTTCAAGTTACACATTTTTAAAATAATGTATAAAACTGACCAATAAGTTTCAGAAAGTTTAAAACACATGAAAACCTCTTAAGAGTTCCATTATTAGGTACAGTAATAATTTGAGGTGAAATGATACAGTGGAAAGTATGCTGAATTTGCTCTTAAAAAAACATGGGTTTTATTTATTAGCTGACAGGTCCTAGGTGAGTTGTCTAAATTTATTTTCTCTTGTTCAGCTAACAATGGAATGATTTATTTTAGCTACTGTACCTAGTAGAATACCCAACATTGACATTATTATAAATGGTTGTTTTCCTCTGCCCTCTCACCCTGCTCCCTCTATTAATACATTTCATTCTGTTTCTCATATAAAGAGTTATAACTGCCTGATGTTATTCTCACATAAAATTTTCCTGTTTGTAAAGCTACATATAGGCATTTATATATGTATATAAAATAATAATATATGTAAGTATGATTTCTGGCTTTTGTACATATAAGAAAGTCACTCAGAATACTCAAGTTGTTGTTCTTTCTGATGGCATGAAATAGCTTAAGTTTCCCCACATGTATTCTCATATATATATATGATACAGTGCTACAAATTTTAGAGCTTTTTAGGAATCATATTTTAATTCTTTTGTCTTTTTTGAAATACATCATCATATATTAAAGAAAATCTCATTGCCAATACTGGTTAATTATAAATTTTATATGATCCAAATATTTCTAAAATTACAATTTTTCTGAGATGTAAAATTACTTTTATATTAGTTTGGAAATACAAGATAGAAAATTTAGTATTAAGATAGCTATTACATTGAGAACTTAGCTGATGAGGCCCCTTTTTAGCATTTTATATCTTGATTGTTGTATTTCTTCCAGAATTTATGGTGGGGTTTTTCTGTTGAGCAGTAGACACTGTAAAAGTGATCTTGCATCTAAACACTAGGAGTAAAAAAGAGTTTCTAATGTTAGTTTTCTTTTTCATATTCTAGACTATCACATAAGATTTTTATGTACAATATATGTGTATGAGATTTTAAAAGTTGTATTGAATCATTTCATTGTGAGATATTTAAAAATTTTTGGCATATATATATATTAGGATTAAAATTTACTCCTTTATTGTAATTATGGTCATACACTGAAGACTAGGACTTGTCTCCAAAGTGGTTTAATTTTAGTTACAAGTACATTATGAGATGTTACTGTATTGATTATAATTGTGGCCTCTTAAAGTGCTAAGCTGTGCTTTGAGAAACTGTCTTGGTGTTATTCATTGAATAATAAAACAAGGCTTCTTTAAGCTTTATATTGAACATAATACTAGTATTAATTTTTCCTTTTGAAAGTCAAAGGAATAAATCTAAAGTCTAATACATATGTATGTTTAGATAACCTGCCAGAGCTATGATAGCTATACTAAACATTGAAATGCTTCTAGAACTGTTCCTTTTTCCTGCTTTGTAAAATAATTTTTTTGGTTTAGTCTTTTTTCTAGACATTCCTATCCTTGACTTTTCTTTCCAGATTTTGTTTCCTAGCCTGTTTGCCATGTTTTCCTTCTTTCGTGTCAGGAAATTATCCTACCCTTCTCCATTTTGGTAAGATAACAATTTATAAAAGAAGTCAAAATAGTATATTCAGTATAAATAGGTGGTGCACACTGAGTTTTTTTCTTTGTAATTTTACGAAAAATGTACATGTTTGTTTGTCTATTCTAACCCTTTTGGTTTTCCATTTTAAAAGAAAATGAAGTTCATTTTGGAAATTTAATTACACTTTAAAATATTCTTTTGATAAAATATTTTTTTAAAAATTGACTACTTAAGAATGAGATTCTTTTCTCCAAAAATTGGATATTTCACTTGGGTTAAACAAAAATTCCATGTCTTCCCAGCAATACACAGAAGTATAAGTGCCTAGCAAGGTGACAGATGGGATTGCAAGACCTAAGTGATTGTCACGCCTCTTGTGCCATGCGTGTAATGCAAACCCATTCTTATCACACTCAGGTAAATTTGGAAGCATATAGAGCTGTCCTGAGTTCAAAATGTGCACTGTCCATCTTACTAACCTCATGGCTTAAGTGGAGAACCTGTGAGAGTTTTAGAATGGTAAAATTTTGTCATGGTGTTGTAGCCCCAAACTGGACATATGGAAGGCACTTACATAAACATGGTGTGCTTTGTAAATCTACATTTTACCCTTTCACTTTCATTTCTCTTAGTTTCTTCCATGTTTTTCTGTTTGTTTATTTTCTGCAAGTTGCTTTAATATGCATTTGAAAATAATCTCTATAGGTGAAAACAATTGGGTTTTACTTTTCAGAATGTTTTTTGTGGGTTATCATTCATATTTACAAGTAAGTAAGCAATTTTTAACCCTTGGAACTACAAGATATTTTTAATATACCTTTTAAATACTGATTGTTTTCTTTAAGGTGTTTACAGATAGAATAATATGTATTTAATACATATTTAAATGCAATCTCTTAACTGGGCATGATGGCATTTGCCCATAATCCAGCACTCAGGAGGCTGAGGTAGGAGGCTCACCAAGAGCTTGATAATGAGTTCTAAGTTCAAGACCAACGTGAGCTACATAGCGAGACCATGTCTAAAGAAAACCCCCACCCTAAGTCAGCTTCTTTTAGATTATATAATGCATTTTCCACTAATGTCATATTTATTTCTTATCATGGTTCGTTATATTTTATAATTTTAGACAATTATGAAAGCACTTAAGTAAACATATTAGAGCATTCTGATGTAGTAGCTTAGTGGTTTAATCCAAGAGAGAACACACAAAGTAATCCAATGGGGGAAAATTACTAGTCAATCAAGGCTTTCAGTTCATTATAAAACACATTACTAAACAGTGATACCTCTTCTTCTCCCTTACCTTCATGTCGTCTATCCCTTAAACAAAATTCTCTTAAGTTACTTTGAATATAAAGTTTGCTGAATGATCGTTGAGAGTATCTTTGGTACTGGGGGTGAGCCAAGTGCCTTTTGCACTGAGCTACTTCCCCAGCCCTTTTGCAGTTCTGAGATGAGGTCTTGCTAAATTGCCCAGGCTGGGTTTGAACTTGTAATCTTCCTGCCTTAGCCTCTCAGAATGCTGGGCTTGCAGGTGTGCAGTACCATGCCCAGTTTCCTTAGGTGTCTTTTAAGGAGCAACAGCACACTTAGTTGGGACATCTAAATATCTTAGGTATTACAGCCATCTGGGCAAATGATGATGAGAAGGATGAATCCAGGCCTAGAAGATTAGAAGAAAGATAACCTGCTGCCATGTGGGATGTTTTAGCTGTGGTTAATATTCCTACTTCACAGTGAGGGCTGCAGGAAGGTTATATTGATAAGAATTTACTGTGGGGTTCTTGTGTTGTATGTAAATATCTGAGCTCAGAGTTCAAGAAGCTCCTGTAGCAAGAGCTTCCGGATCGTAAGGCAAGGCTGTGTATAAAACCTCGTATATTACCCCATTGTTAAAGGATATGAATTACCTAGATTTGTCCTTAACTCAAATTATTAGGTCTAAGATAAACTAGCCTTTCATGGAAGGGCAGCAAATTGATGATCTATATAGCATTTTCCCTAGTATTTGATTTGCCTCCAATTTTAACTCTTATGATTTCTAACCATGGTAACGTTTGAGCAGAGGTGCAGGGAAATCTGAACAGTTTGTGTCCCAACTGTAACATCTCTTACACACACGAAGCCACATAAAATTACGCTTTCATTTAACCTCGAGGATAGAAAGCAGCAGTGTGCTGCATATAGGCGAGTTCTTCAAATGTGAATATTAGTCCATCACTTGAAGTTTAAAACACATTTTACTTGGAAATCTTGGGTATGTTGTAATTAATTACTAGTTTAAGTGAATTGTGGTGTTTTAAAAAGAAACAAGAATTTAGTATAGTTTTATTTAATGCTGCTATAATTTATAGTACAGAATCATCTTGCAGTAAATTTTTGCTGAGGCCTCTCAGTGTCTGTTGGAAACATAACCTTTCCACAAAAGTCTTGTACTATAAATGTTTCAGGTAAATAGAATTCTTTTTTAAAGAGTGTGTTGTTTTCCAAATGCATATGAAAAGCACAGATCAACTTGTGAGCCCTTCACAGTAATGATACTCTTTTAATTTATAATTTGTTCAAAAGCCAGAAATATGTTTTTGCCTTTTAAAAGGTGCAGTTATCTCTTAGTATATAATGTTTATTTCTGTTCTCTAGATGTTGTAAATTTTGATGACATAGCCTCCTCAGAGAACTTGCTACATCTCACTGCGAATAGACCGAAGATGCCTGGACGCAGGCTCCCGGGCCGCTTCAATGGTGGACATTCTGTGAGTTACTCTTACAGTACCAAGGGTCCAGCAAGAGGAGATGGGGACAGGGCTCAGAGCCATGCCTGGGCTTAAATCCTGAAGACAGCTGTTATACCCACATGGCAAATGCTAGCATTTGAGGAAATACAAGGAAAGAGATACTCATTTCAACACAGGGCCTGGAGTAGAAGCTTACAGAAGCAGAACTAAGGAGTTGGCCTGAGAAGCCTGTTTAAATCTACCTGTTCAGCAGTGATGATAGATCTTAAGTAGTAGATACTTACTTTTGGAAAGAATGAGAACTTTTTTCCCCCCTGAAATTGTCAGTGCTTCTGTAGTACTTATCCTGGTATCTAGAGCAGTAGCTTCTTTTCTTGATTTCTATTCATTGCCTGGAATATGGGTCATACTTTAATATTACCAAACGAGGTCTTAATGCATTATGGTGCTTTTAAGTTACCTAGGTGGAGAAAATTTTGTTGCTGTTCGGCAAGCTGTTTTTGCCTTCAAGTTATGCAAATATATTACTCAGCGTGAAATAATATAACATGCTGTTAATGGTAATGGGATATCAGGAATAGTGGTAGGTGAAAACAAAGTGGTAAAACTTACTTGCTTTATCATCCAAATGCTTACTACAGTTTCCTTCTTTGGTCTGTTCTGTCTCTGATTTCTAAAAAATCATTTAGCCAACTCACAGCCCAGAAAAAACCTTGAAGTTACCAAAAGAAGATGATAGTGCCAACCTAAAACCATCTGAGTTCAAAAAGGACACGTGCTACTCTCCAAAGGTACCATGAATTGCATGCTAAGATTTCTGTAGTTTCTAGGATTCCTTTTGAAGATCGCAAAGAAATTAGATAATGGGAAATATCTGATTTGGAAATAAGGGAATAAGGTAATTCCTGCTGAGAAATTTGAGTTCTTAAACTTGTTACACTGTTCTCTTTAGATCTGTTTTAGAAGAGCTTATATTATTTTAAATGAGTAGTATATTACATAATTCATAGTTTTGAAGGCATAGGACTATGTATCTCTCACAAAGCGGAGTCCCACACCTAGTACAGAATGGCAAGAACAATGGGCTGTCTGTGTTTGAAGCTGGGGGAGCTTTTTGAGGGGAGATTAATGGCAATGTGTCTTACTGTTGTAAATTTTTTCTAATTTAAACATTCACTGTATATTTTGATTATCCCTTGTAATCGGGAAGATCATTTTCTTGCTAAATTAGTCTTCAGTTTTGTTCCAGGACTCTTGCCTACTTTTCCAGTTTTTCACATGTGCTCAATTTGATGCTCTTGAGCTGTCAGCAGTCTGTTGAAATTTTTCTAAAATGACTTTCTGTTATTTTAGTGAAACACCAAAAAAGTTGCAGCCTGTGGACTCATTTTAATGCCTATTCCATGAATTTCTTCAATATAGAGGCTTCACTAGGCAAACCATCCGCAAAATAAATCTGATGAACATTTTTATTTGTTCTTTAAAAAAAAAAAGCTATTGACTTTTTTCACACTATTGATTGCAGATTTGTTCTTTGGTGGTTTTTCCAGTTATGAACATCAGACTACTTTTTCAATTTCTAAATTCTCCATTTGTCTTGATGTACAGGTTGAGTAGTCCTTGCCTGAAATGTTTGGGACCAGAAGTGTTTCAAATTTCAGATTTTGTGTGGTTTTGAAGTGTATTTGCATATATACACTGAGGTTATCTTGGGATTGGGACCCACGAGTAACCACAAAATACATTCATTTCATATACTCTTCCTTCACATAGCCTAAAGGTGATGGTGTACAGTGTTTTTAGTTTGCCTAGATTTTACCTGGGGTCAAGCATGGGATTTTCTACTTGTGGCTTCATGTTGTTGCTCAAAAAAAATCTAAAAAAGTTTTAGATTTTTGAGCATTTTTGATTTCCAGCTTTCAGATTAGTGATACTTAATCTGTATATATTGTTCATTTTGTTATAAAATCTTTTGGACTTAAATACAATAAATATAAATACAAATAACATCAGAAAAACTCGATTACGTTTTCAGCCCTCTGTGCACCTTTCAACACCTTCAAGTGCTTCTCAAGCCAGTGCAGCTGGTTTCCTCACTCCATTAGAAGTCAAAGCTAAAGTGGAAACAGATGATGGGAAAAAAATTTCTGTGGATGAACTTCGAGCTCAGATTATCGAATTGATGTGCATTGTTGAAGCACTGAAAAAGGATCATGGGTAGGTAATCCTGTTTCCTCCTGTGAGCATATTTAACACATGGGTAAAGAATTCTTTCACACTATGCCATAAAGGTCTAATTTGCCAGTCTCTGGTATGAGCAAGTATGTTTTCAAAGAAATTTTCTTTAACATTTAATTTGACAAAAAACTTGGATTGGAAAACTTGTTCCAATAGTTCAATTATAGAAAATGTCCATATATACCTATATGTTCAGGCCATAAATGCTTTAGTTTGACAAAGGAATTAATTAGTCTTGAAAATATTAAGAAAACTATATTGTATTTTAGATTTAGTATATATCTGTACACACTGTCAAACTTAACTACCTTGGGGACTTTGATCATTGTCTCTGCTAGGGTTAAATTGAATGTTTATAGCATAAATGGGTTGAGATAACCTCTAAAGCCTTTAACTCTGAAAATTTTTGATATATGGGATATAGTAGGACATACCCAGCTGAGAGTTAGGGACTTCTTAGAGCTAAAATAAATTTAAAAGATTCCCTACTGCACCCGCCCCCCCTTTAAATAAGGAAATATAGATTTGGAGAAATAAAGCTATGTACTTAAAATTATATAATCCTCAAATGACAGAGCTAAAACTCAACCTCATATCCTCTATTTTTTCAGAGTTCTTTTCTATAATTAGAAGTATTTGAATTTTAAAATGTGACGTTTTCAGCGTAATCTTGTAGCAGCCCCATAGGAATGCAGATCAGAGAGCAGCTCCTCTGACTGACCTTCGGGTGAGGGTGCTCTCCTTTCATGGTGCCTTCGCCTCTGAAGGATTTCTTGGAATAACAAAATTCACAGCCAGAGGCCATGGTACCTAACAGCCCAATTTTAACTGTTTCTTCCTCAATTATCCATTAGTGTGGGAGCCTTTATAAAAAAACAATATTCAAATTATCCAAACTAGATAGTTGTAGTTTGTAGAACATTTTTACAAATGTTCTTAGATGGAAACAAAAGACTGTATATTGAATAACTACTTAGGGTGTATATTATATGTATTATATATATTATCTATATAATATGTATATTACAGATACAGAATTTGTCATTTGATACATATGTCTTTGAATCCTTCATTTTGTTTTGAATTTTTTCAGGGATTTGTCAGTATATATATTAGAAACAATAAGCTTATTCATCAGTATCTATTGAGTACCATCTATATACCAGTTAGAGAACTCTCCTGATTTGAGGATTTTATTGTTTTACACTTGTGATACCAGTGTGCTATTATAAAAATGTTTTTATTAGTGTCTATTAATTATACAGAATATAAGGTTTCATTATGATATTTTCATACATGCATATAACATATTTTGATCCTATACATCCATCCCCTTGTTACCTTCTCTCATGCCCTTCCTCTTGTTGAATAACAGCCTACCATCTGCTTCATTGCCCCTCCTTCATGGGAAAACATGTGACACTAGTCTTCCCAAGTTTGGCTTATTTTGTTAGTATGATGATCCCTTAGTATACTTAGTATAGTTCCATCTGTTTTCCTGCAAATGACACAATTTTATTCTTTATGGCTAATACTCCTTTGTATATATATACCAAATTGAAGAACTTAACAGTAATCCATACTTTATTTTCAGGAAAGAACTGGAAAAACTGAGAAAAGATTTGGAAGAAGAGAGGGCACTGAGAAGCAATCTAGAGGTAATGTGTTTCTCCCAACATTGTGCTTTTTAGACAGTGTGCACTCCCAAATGTGTGACTGCTTCCGCTACGGGCATGCTGTCCTGCATCAGTCAAACACGCCCTGTGTGGTAGCGCTTCATAAATCTCTTGTTGATTTGCTGTCACATTATATAGTTGAACGCTTAACTTCCCTGGGCAGTGTGTGAATCATAACGTATGTACTTGTAAATAAAATAAATATGGCCATTGCCTCTTGAGAATGTCTAGTTCTTCTTTTTTTTTTTTTGGTACCAGGGATTGAACTCAGGTCCTTGCACTTGCATAACAGGTGGTGAAACCACTGACCCCGGCCCAAATATGTAGTTCTTCTTTGATTTATATTTGTCTTTTTCGCTGCAGTTAAATTCATTTGATCCTCTGTCTTTTCCCTGTCCTGTCCTTCCTCATAGGCCCTCCCTCTCCTTTCTCTCTGAGCAGTGACTTCATCTTCATTCTCTGGTGCTGATGACTATTAATTTCATTTAGTTCCTTTATATTCCTTAATTTTCTTTTTCTCTTCATTTTTGCCTCCATTTGTGTTCTTTCTTCTTTATATAGCAGAAAGCTGTATCCTCCCTCTTTTTTTTATTTCCCCATTAAGTTTATTGGTACATTTTAGGTATAAAATACAGTTACATAGTTACATTCCTCGTTGGGATCCTATACCTTTACATGAATATCTTGGTTCTTATTTTTTTTCCACTTCCCCTGTCCTCCACGCCCTTCACCCTTCCCTATTTGCAAAGACTTTGTTTCCATTTTTTTCCTTTTCTCATATTAATTCCATTTCCTTCTTTCCTTTCCCCACCCCTCCCACTTCCCCTTCCCCTTTGCCCCTTTTCTTCCTTTTCACATTATATATTATACCTTTTAGTCCTTATTTACACTTTCAGTTTCTCACACTAGAGAAACTATTCGGTATTTATACATGTGTGTCCTATTTATTT